AAATCAATAAAATATATTTTAAAAAAAAGATGTATGGAGTAAAGTAAAGAAAAAGCAGGGTAGGCAGATTATTGGAGCACATTATATGATTTTCACATGAGAGAAAACAGATATGTGAAATACATTTGTTTCTTAGCCCTCTGCGGGAGTGATCTCCATATTGAAAGTTTTATAGCCATCATGCTAAGAGGGAATTAAAATTAAGTATAATGAGCACAGAATAAGAAAGTACTCTAATAGTGCATTAAATTTGTTGAGACCTTTAAAGCCTTTCATAGGACTAGATATTGAGGAACTTACCAGATGACTGTGAGAGGCAGTGCCATCAGTAATCCCGAGGTATTGTGGAGAAGAGGAGAGGTTTTAGGAAACTGTAGGTGGGAAAATATTGCCTTATATTTTCCAAAGGGGAAAGAGAACATTTGGTTTGGAAACTTGATATTGATGCACTGTTAAGATTCTAGAAAGGATCACTTATACATACAGAAGAAGTAACCGCCACTATATGCCAACATAGGTCTATGAAAAGGAGTCAAACCAAACTAAGTGACTAAGAAAAGACATGAGCTTTACACTAGTGGACCAGGAGACCATGTGATACCTAATGCATCTCGATGCAGCAGGATATCTGAGTAAAGTCTTCAGATCCCTGAGGACAGGAAAAGAAATGCAGCCAGTGATAGTGCAGTTAGATGAAGTTAATGAGTGGAGTAATAGCAGCCTCTCAAGGATTACACTTAGCTTTAAAGCACTATATTTGACCTCATATTTGTTCACATTAACAGTAGACACAGAGATAGCAGTCTTACTAATCCAGTTTTCAACACACAGAAAAATGGGCAGGGATGGTTATATACACCAATTGACAAAATTATCAAAAGAGCAAAACCTGCTAGACATGCACCTAAACCAACAATAAATGTAAACATGGTATTGTATGCTGAGTTCAACTGAAAAAATTAAAAATGAGAAACATTGGGCTTCATAGTAATTTGGGGAGAAAAGTTCCAGGGACTTGTGAGCTAGCAATATGATATGGTTGCAAAAAAAAAAAATACAGTGCCAATGTAATTTTAAATTATATAATCAAAGGATGATATTCAGACTAAGGGTTGTAATACTTCCCTATTTGGCAATATTATGAATTATTATAACAGTCTTTTTTGGGAAATACATTGGCAAAATGGAACATATTCAGATGATCAGGAAGTTTAATTTATAAATTTCTTTGATGCTCAGATTCTTTATTTTGCTATGTGTAATGAATTGTAAGGAATAAAATCTCCCATAGCAAGTTTTCAAGGGGCTTCCTTGATATCATTCCAGTCAAAGAACATAGGAACTGCTACTTGGGTAAAATCCACTCCCCTCAATCAGTTGAGCTTGAATGATGGGTTTAACAGTGGTAATTCTCCTTTCATTGAAAATATATTGGTTTCTGAATGCCAAATTAAATTTTATATTCTATATTACTAATTTGTTCATTGGGTGCAGCACTGCTTCATGTAAATTGTATTTTCCCACTCCCTTTTATAATGGGAATGAGTAAAAGGGGTTTTATATGAACACAGGAAAGATTCTCAATTTATTCTATATAATAAAAGGCTAATATGCAAATTGACCGAACAGCAGAAGGACTGTTCACTATGATGTGCACTGACCACCAGGGGGCAAACGCTCAATGCAGGAGCTGCCCCCGGTGGTCAGTGCATTCCCATATGGGGAGCGCCACTCAACCAGAAGCCCTGAGCCAGGTGCAGCAGCGGTGGCTGGAGCCTCTCCTGCCCCTGCGGCAGTGCTAAGGATGTCTGACTGCCAGCTTAGGCCCACTCCCAGTGTCAGTTGGACTGTGAGAGGGCACAGGCCAGGCAGAGGGACGCCCCACCACCACCAAGTGCATGAATTCCATGCACTGAGCCTCTAGCTTAAAAATAAAAATGTGTAGTTTCTTTAAAAAAATGAGTGTTTCCCAACTTTTGAGAAATTATTTCCTATCCCTAAAGAATATTCCCTATTATAGGGAAATTTAATGCAAAATTAAAGGGAGAGAATCTCAAATGACTCTATTTATTGAGACTCTCAGGAGTAAGGGAGTAAAATACAACCTTTAAAAGGGGCAAGATGAGTAACTTCAACATACAAATACACAAGCGTGCACACACATACACACACACGTTACTGTAGATTAATGATAGTACATATGGGTTGCAGGAACTTGCAGCCTAAAAATGTTGTTTTTCATAGTCTGCTGAATTAATGTTATTTGTTAATTAAGACCAAATACAACAAGGCTTTATATCAAACTACAGTTGTTAAAGAACATAGCTGGTACAGAAAGAAAGCAAGTAAAATATTCACAGGCATTTCATTTTTTGTTCTGAAATCTACTTTTTTAAGTTATAGAAAAGTCACTATGAAAATTTTTTATCCCCTTCTTTTCTTCTGATCCCAAACACCTGGCCCACATAGCTACCATGAAAATGTTCTGTAAAATTACTTTAGGAATAACTTTATAGCTTTAATCATTGCAAGCCTTTAACCTGAGTGTGGGTATTTGCAGCCAGAGTTCTGTGGCAAAGCTAAGGCACTACTGTCCTTGAGGTCAGAGGATTTTTAAGCTCTCTTGGAAAATGAGGTGCCAGAGAGCCGAAATTAGTCAAAAGTCTGTACCAAAACCCATTCATTTAAGGGTGACATTCTATTCTCAGTTGGTCTTCCTTCTTCTTAGAACCTAAGAAGGAAGACCAATTCTATGCCAGTAAAGTGAGACAAATGATGCAAAATAGGGGGTTTTACCTCAATACCATGGGTGCTTCTTTCCATACTGTCTTAACATCAAGGTTTAGTATATGACAAGCGCTGCTCTGTGTTCTACCCAATGTGCTCATCTCACAACAGAAAATCAGCAAAATGTTGCCTGAGGCTCCATATGGATTACAGTTTGTTGGTGGGGTGGGGATTATTATCCCCGCCCATCTAATAGTCAGACGTACCTTGTTCTGCCCAGGTTCGTGTCTCTCCAGAGACTCTTTATCTTCTTTCCAGATCTGCATTCCTCCACTTCTATATTTTTGTAGGTATAGCTAGTATTTTTTTCTTTTTCTCTTGTTCATGTTTAACAAGATTTCTTATAAACTCAATACAGCCTTGGTTTATTCCCTGGCTTCAGGACTTCCTAGCTGTGTGATCTTATGCAAGTCATTTATCTCTGAGCCTCAATTCCCTCATCTGTAAAATGGGAGATTGATAGCACTAAACTCAGAGTGGTGGTGGTAGGTTACATAAGTCAATAAAAGTAAAGCAAATAGAATAGTGCCTGGCACATAAAAATATGCTGTTATACAGCAAATGCCTTCCTTATAATTTTTTCCTCCTTATGTTTATTTTTCATAGTTTAATTATACCATCTAAAGATATAAATCTTCCATCTATGTATTTTAAAGTTCTCATAATTTCTGAATCATATGCACACAAGTCATTCTTGTGCTTTCATCTTTTCCTCCTGAATCCCTTCCCACTTCTTTGGTCTTAGTACCTTTTTTTTTTTTTAATCATCCTTTTGGTTTCACCCTCCAGCACTAGCTCCAGGCCTTCCTGACCACACGTCTTGAGGCCAAGTGGGGTTTTCCCACCAACACACTCGGGAATATTTGCTCCATGTCTTGTGTTCCCTGTAGGGTGGTGGGCTCATGGGAGCCAGACCAAGAGTATCTTCCTCGAAGCTATGGCTCCAGTGCCCAGCTCTGAGCATGGGCATAATAGGCACTTACTACTCACTTATTCAATGGAAAAATGCAGATGGATTACCAGACAGTCAGCCTCTATGAACCCAGTTTAGAACAATCTTGAAAGGTAACAATCACCTGGAGAAAAGGTTATCTCCCTGTACTTTGGACCAGGCCCTATGTTAGGTAACAATTACTCTTCTAAATGCTGGAATGGGTTATCAGGCTGATAAAGTGAATTATTGCTTTTATGGTTTTAAATTTAACCTTGGGATCAAGCTTATTTACTGGTTCACGGAAAGCTTTGGGGGAGGGAGGGAGAGGGAAAAGCTTTTGCTCCCACTTAGCAAGGAAAGGGTCATAGGCTTCAAATGCTAATTCTGAAAGTTAACTCCTGCAGAAAGGACATGCATCGCAAATCCTTCTTGTTAGTCTGTCTTGTTCTTACTATCTTGTTCTTCCCCCACCCACCCCACCCCCGTAACCAAACAAAATATATATAACATGTGGGTATATATATATACAAAGGTTATACACACAGATATAGTATATGTGTGTATGCATATCGGTATCACACTTCTGTGAAACTCACCGAGCCTTCGCTGGCTCTTTGAGTCTATCAGGCCTGTTTTGAGTTTCCAATTAGAAAAAGGTTTGTGGCAACTTTAATCCTGTTACAGTTTCAAATAGTTCTGTGTCAAATAGCCAAAGATCCTCTTAAGCCAATCTATAACTGTAAACAATACAAGATCTTTTGCTTTTTCATTCATGTTAATTTTTGCTACATGCCACAGTTCAGCCTTAAATTTTTTTTCTTAATAGTTTAGTCATATTAGAACAGGATAGCTTTCGAACACAGTTATATAGTGGTTTTATTCATAGCAAGTGAAATAAATGTCTTACACCAGAAGCTCAAATTTTAAAAAGCAAAATAAACTGAGTTCTAAGTCATGGAAAAACAACAACAGCAACAAAAACCCTGATATCTGTGAGTATTATTTTAAGCATCCCAGCTAAGAAGTATAAATTCACAAATTGTCTATTACATAAAAAGTGTTGGTTGGTTAGGAAGTAGCTTTGTCTATGAATAATTTCATCTCATAGCAGCTTCTCTCTTCTATGTTGTGTTTCTGTAAAATGTAAAAGGTTGTATTTTATTCACTTACGTTAGTTACATCAACCATATTTATTCCAATCAGAAAACATAATCATAAGTTTGGAACCAAGCATTATAGGTTATCTCTACATAAATATGATGAAATTTTTCTTTTGCAGGTGCAAGTATTGGCATTACGATGAAAACCTGCTCGTTTCCAGCGTTATCATTGTTTTCCATAATGAAGGATGGTCAACCCTCATGAGGACAGTCCACAGTGTCATTAAAAGGACTCCAAGGAAATATTTAGCAGAAATTGTATTAATTGATGATTTCAGCAATAAAGGTAATGGCTATGGAATTGACATTTTGTCCATAAAATAAGTTAATTATGAGTAATTGCAAAAACTGTGATTTCAAAATAATTAGTCTTTAAAAAGTAATAGCATCTACTGATAGCATCTATTTCAACAAGTTGGCACTATATCAAGCATTCTGTAATGATTATTTTGTTTAATCCTGACCATAGCCTTTGCAATGGACATTGTTATCTTCATTTTACACATGAGGCTTAGAAATGTTAAGTAACTTACCAACATTCACATGCTATTCCTGTCTCAATAATTAATAGCTGGAATCAAATCTACAAGCTCATAAGTCTGTGTATTTAACCACTATGTTACACTATACCAACTCTTTGGGCCTTTGATTTTACAAAAGTTTTGTCATGGAGGTAATTTATTGAAAGACTGAAAAAATGTAATTGCACGTATACTGTAATGCCACCTGGTGTTCCAACCATAGTTGTCCAACTAAAATCCATATACCTATTTAATAGCCTATAATTTGCATTTTAACAATACAACATTGAATTTAACCAGAAACCATGGACTATTTTTATTTATAATAGAAAGTATCCACCAAAATTTATTTTGCTTTATATTTGATTTAATATATTGAATAAAAGGAAATTGGTTGGTTTTTTTTATTACTATAGCATTTAGGGAAGCATTGGTTAGTCTTGATTCAACTTGGCAAAAGAACGAGATTAAGCATTGATTTTTCCCAATAATGGGTTTAAGTTAACATTTTTTCTTTAAATATATTATTGTAAGCAGAATATATCTTCTTAGTGACATGAGTATCAAAAGATAGATAATACTATAGCTCAGACCCCAAAGCAGCATCCTAAATAAAAAATGTAGTTGTGCTGCTGAAACCCAGATATGGGCATTTATTCTTCTTTGTTTGTCACAAAACTGAATTGGATCCTTTGAAATTTCATCAAAGAACTCAGGCTAAGTAACAATAGGATATTTGCTTTTTGGCAAGTAAGTTTTGCAAACAATTTTTGTGTACAATTAGTAATACCACTGACTATATGTCAGAAGACAGAACATGGGTACCATAAAAATATAATTCAAAATGGTTTTACAAAAGCTTCCTCCAAAACTTCATTTAGAGCTCTTTCTGTCTGGATGCACCTCTATGTTTATACCATACAGGCATGTGACCAGATCTTGATCTTGTATACATATGCTAGCGTGGAGAAGAAATAGAAATATGCCCTATTTCCTTTTCCCCTCATTTTGTTCAGCTAATCACTTTTTCAACTACTCATTTTTAATTACACTAGAGAATGTATAACTTTAACTTTTTCCATCATATCAAATGCCTTTAGCTTAGACATCTTACCTTGGTTGCAACTTTCATGACAGGAGTGTAGTCATTAAAAATACTATCCCTGTCTCAAGATAAATGCAGGGTGAGGCAAAAAGTAGGTTTACAGTCGTTCTAATGGAAAATAATACAATAATTAATTAATAATAATAATAGAATAAACTGTTTCACATACGCACAACTGTAAACCTACTTTTGCCCACCCTGTATTTAAAAATGTTTTACCGTGATATTATTGGTACCAACAATATTTTAGATTCTAAAAAACTTAAACCTATAAAAATGATAGAAATCCCTTGTCTATGATTGTTCTGGTTTTAAGAAGTCCTATGTTATTAACACAAGTAAAACTGTGCTATACTTAGCACATTATAAAAAAAGAAAATTGTGAAGATACACCAAAAATAACTGCTTGGCCCCAGAAAAGGAGCATAAAATTTTGCACTTACGATTTTTTGGTCCATTTTACTTGAATTTTTTGTGATCAGAGCTTCTGTTATTACAAACCTTTAATATTTGGTCTCTTATACATTGTAAAGTCCATCACAGAGCAGGGTCTGCTTAGCTTATAGCAGTAGGAAATACAGAGGTACAGAGGGCTTTAATTAATTTTCCCAATTTTAAAACAATCTTAAAATCTGTCAGTCCCCTTCTCAGTACTAAAAGTATATAGTCTTTGGTAAATCTGACTGGAGTGAAAATTGACTTGTTCTTTCCCCCAATAAATTCAGAAACTAGAACTTTGAGTTATAAGTTTTCTTATTTTAAAGATAAAATACTTTACTAATATAAAACTTCACAAAGGAGCTGGCTGCTCATAGCACTTGGGTTTCTGGAAATTAGAGTATTCTCTTAAAATAAGCTTTGGGGCCATTAAATTGAGCACAGCCCTGTTCACATGTGCGTCAGCCAGCTGAGACTGAGTGGGGTCAAGGCAAAATGCACCCCACACTCTCAGTGGCTTGTAACAACAATGGGTTATGGCCCTGTTCTCTTGCTCTAACAACACATTCCCTGCAGGTCCACCCTGCTCTGCCCCACGTCTTCACCACAGGGCCCCGGCTGGCAGAGCAGCCTGATCTCAGACATTGCCTGTCTAAGAAGCAGAGGGAACAGAGAGACAGGGTGAAGCACTACTGCGATTTTAACAGTTCCACTCACAAGTACCTTGAGTCATTTTCAGCCCCTTCTCATTGGCCACAGCAAGTCGCATGGCCCAGCCTGACATCAGTGGGTGGGGAGGATAATCGCTCCCTGAGGAAAGGGGGTGAATACTTGGAACATTAATAGAGTGCACTCTGCCATAGGGCAAGATCCCAAAGAAGCCGGAAGTCATTTCACTCACTAATTTCCCTTTGGGGCCATCTTTCTATGCATTTAAATTTGAAGAACATGCCATCAACTTGGTTTGGGCTGTAAAAATTTGTTACAGATTTATTTAAATAAAAGTGCCTACTGCAATTCAGAAGGGCCTTAAAAAAAAAAACAAAAAAAAACAAAAACTGTACCAGGCTGGAAAAAAAAAAGCTTTTAAAAAAAGTTTAAGTTGAAGGGAAAATCACTTAGATTTTTCTGGGGGGAAAAATATAGTTTGGCGTGAGAATTTTGTTTATAATTGTCATTAAAAGTGGATGCCAAAAGGGAAATATTTTTCTTCTCAATTTTGAATATCCATGTGTGGGTGTCTTGATAATTATAAGGTCTCTAAAAAATGAGTAAAGTATTAAGTACAGTCTGATTTGCCCATTTAACCACTAGCTCATCACTAAATACAGCTATGTTTTCATCTGTTTTTGTATTCATGGACTAAAAGTTTAAACAATTTAAAAATAATTTTTGTGTCCACAAGAAATATCTCTAAGGATCCAGGAGCTAGTCATGGTTGTGAGGAGCCAATTTCATGGGCTCATAGTGATGCAAACAAAAACTGTTCTCTTACAACTGGGAAGCCAAGATGGAAACTTGGCAAATGTATCTTGTTGTTTTTTTAAAAAATATATTTTATTGATTTTTTACAGAGAGGAAGAGAGAGGGAGAGAGTTAGAAACATAGATGAGAGAGATACATTGATCAGCTGCCTCCTGCATGCCCCCCACTGGGGATGTGCCCACAACCAAGGTACATGCCCTTCTCTGGAATCAAACGTGAGACCCTTAAGTCCACGGGCCAAGGCTCTATCCACTGAGCCAAACCAATCAGGGCTGTTTCTTGTTTTTAGAACACAAAATGTTCTCTATCAAACTGCAAATATTTATTATTTATTTATTGAATATAAATATTATCTAATCTAATAATAGACAAACATGGTAATTGACCGTACCTTTGCTACACTTCCCATTGGCTAATCAGGGCAATATGCAAATTAACTGCCAACTAAGATGGCGGTTAATTTGCATACTGCAGGCAGGGTAGGACAGCGCAAGCCGCCATCCAGGCCCCCATGTGCGACCAGGGGGTGGGCGAGGGCTGGGGCAAAGGCAAGTAGTGCTGATCACCTCACCGGAGCCCTCACCCGCCCACTGGAGACAGGGGGCCCACTTCCATGTGCGATCCGGGGGCGGGCGGGGGATTGGTGGCATCACTTGCCTTAGCATGAGCCCTGCCTGCCCGCCAGGAGCCAGCCAGCCCAGGGCCAGGAAGGCAGGAGGCAACGCTGGAGCCACCCGGGCTCTCCCCACTGTCCGTGCTTCATAAATTGCAAGTTTCCGCGGAGGCGGCGGCTGCAGGACGCAGAGCGGGAGACAGGAGCAGGCCGAGCGCGGCTCGGGCTCGGGCTTGACGGAGGGCACCGGCGCAGAGGAGATCTCCCCAGCAGGCAGCGGCTCCCCCTGCCACCGGGGAGATCTCCCCTGTGCCGGTGCCCTCTGTCAAGCCCGAGCCGCACTCAGCCTGCTCCCCGTCTCCTGCTCTGCGTCCTGCAGCTGCTGCCTCCGCAGAAACTTGCGATTCATGAAGTGCGGGCGGTGGGGAGGAGGAGGCACCTAAGAAGTCCCTGGCCACTGGCGCCAGGAGCTGGGAACTTTGTGCCAGGGCATTCCCGGCGGGGCCGGTGGCAGAGGGGAGCTGGGACTCTGGCCACCGCCGCCGCCGCCTCCCAGCTGGCTCCGGGCGCTTGGTGCACTGGCTACTGCTGCTGCTTTGGCTGCGGGAAGCTCTGCTGCTGCTTGGGGTCCAGGCACAGGAGGCTGGCCAGGGGCCTGGGCCAGGTCAGCAGCCCCTGCCGCCTCAGCAGCAACAGAGCAGGCAGCAATACAATGGTGAGCCGGGCCTGAGCCCCGCCCGCCCACCGGGACACGGGGCCCTCTGAGAGAGAGAGAGAGAGAGAGAGAGAAAGAAGAGAGAGAGAGGTGGAATTTGGCACCCCACATCCCTCCCCGATCGACCACTGCGATTCCAAGCCAGCGAGGGCTGCCTTCAGGCCGCAGCTCCAGGTCCCTCATCCCCACCCCAGACCTGAGAGCACAGTGCTGGGCAGGGGCACCCAGGGGTTTGGGAATGGAGCACAAGGGGCCGGCACGAAGTCGGGGCGGGGGGGGGGGCTGTGTTTATACCGCCAAGTTCCCTACTTCTGCCCTGGCCCGCATCCCTACTCCTTTCTCTCAGAGGCCCAGCTCCTGCCTACATGCTTGCTGGGCAGGCCCAACTGCACCGGGGAGTGAAGCCATGGCGATCAGGATGGCCACTTCCTGGGATGGGATGGGATGGGATGGGATGGGATGGGATGGGATGGGATGGGATGGCCAGACCATGGGGATTCATAAGGGCGATGAGGCCTGTGGGGCATGCACAGCCCTCTGGCAGTGGGGGTGGCCGGCCAAGCCGAGTCTGGCTTCAGTGGGGCCAGTGGGAGCCCGAGGCCACCCTAACCCCCACAGGTCCTGGGCAGACGGTGGCTCAGTGGAGAGCAGTACCTCTATGCATGGTGCCCAGGGGCGGCTGTGAGCCGCTGCAACCCCGCCCCACACTTCAGGGAGGGGGAGAAGGCTCGCAGCCACCAGCACCCTAGGCTACACCTCCTGGCCTATACCTCAGCCTGCCAGGTTAGCAGGGTCAAGAGAAGGTGAGCTGTTCCCTTCCCCCAGTGGTAGAACAGGGAGGAGAGCGCTGGGTGCAGGGAGGGGACCTCAGCTGGGATCCTCCTGGTGTGGGGAAGGGGCCCAGCCTGGGCCCGGTGGGGAGCTTAAGAAGTCTGGCTAAGCAGGCGCTGGTTCATACCAACTCTTACTCTGCCATCTTCCTCCAGCTCTTCAAGCTAGCCCCCCTGCCCCACCTGTCCGGGGGAACGGGCTCTGGGTGACCTCCCTGAGCTCAGACTGTGGACCCAGAGACCTCAAGGAAGAGTGCCCAGCCGGGCCTGGGCAGGGGCCAGTGCAGAACTACCAGGGCAGAGTTGCTTTGGTGTCTTGGTGAAGTTTGCAAATGACCCAAGGAGGAAACCCGAGAGGGGAAAGGCCGGGAGGCATGAATTGCCAGCACTTTAGCCACTTGAAAACAGCTCCGCTTGGAATGTGAGGTGGTTGTATGTTCAGTTGAGAAGTGAGGGGGCTGAACTCCACCATCGCTGGGCTCCTGTCAGTCCAAGGCCCAAGCGTCCACCATGACAAGGAAAGAACAGAGCGAGGGGCCTGGAGGAAGGGAGGACAATTGAAGAAAACCGTGTCTAGACTTTCCCCAGCCCTCTCCTTCTTTCTGCTGCCTACAAGAGCCCCAGGCCCGGCCATAGCTCTGTCTCCACCTTTTAGTCCCCTATTCTCCAACCGCAGAGGAAAGAAATAAGGAAGGAGTCTGTGCTGCCTTCAGAAAGTATCTATATACCTGATCGGCCAGTTGCCTTCCACAGAGGGAGGCCAGACTGCGGCTTAGGCCTGCTTCCCACAGGGACATCAGTAGGACATCCTGTGAGGGCTCCCAGACTCTTAGAGGGGGCAGGCTGGGCTGAGGGGTGCCCCCTGAGTGCACAAATTTTTGTGCACCGGGCCTCTAGTATATTATATAAATGTGTATATATTATATAAACGTGTAGATACTTATTTGTAAATATACATACATTCATATATAAATACAGTGGGGCCTTGACTTACGAGTTTAATTCGTTCCGTGATGGAGCTTGTAACTCAAATTACTCGTATGTCAAATCAAGAAGTGAGCGAGTGAGACACGTGATGCTGGGCTGATGTTATGGCGTTCACTGTGACGTTCACTGCGCCAACTAGCGGTGGGGTATCTGAAGCTGGCTTGTAACCCAAATTTTAGCTCGCAACTCAAAGCAAAAAATCATCCAAGAGATGGCTCGTATCTCAAAAAACTCGTTAGTTGGGACACTCGTAAGTCAAGGCCCCACTGTACTCCTGTTGGTGCTTAAAATGCAGAGAAAATGGGACTCTCGATTGTTTTTTATCAACTTGATGGGAACTATATTCATTACACCAAGACTACAACCTTAGATATGATTATACTTGGAGAAAGATGGCCCAGAAACAAATGTTTACCTACATCCTTTATGGATTCCAAAGAAGTCATACAATGCTATTTATAAGCAGTGTATCTTCAGAAATCCTGAACTATTGCTTCTTCCAAAAGCAAACAAAATATCATGCTTGAAAGCTTTTAAATATGACATTAACATGTGCAGTTTTGAGTTTTTAATTTTTTAAATTTAAAACGTTTTTTAAGTTTTTATTTTAATTGGCATAGTTATCATTTATTTTATTTTCAGAGATGTTTGATCTTTCTCATGCTAACCAGTTCTCTGAAGGCATGTTAAGTTCAAAAATGGTTTTTAATTTTTTTTAAATGTTTTATTGATTTGTACAGAGAGAGGGAGGGAAAGGGAGAAACATCAATCACATCAATGGGCTGCCTCCTGCACGCCCTCTACTGGGGATTGAGCTTACAACCCCGGCACATGCCCTGACTGGGAACTAGCGACCTTCTGGTACATGGGACGATGTCAACCAACTGAGCCACACTGGCCAGCATGTATTAAGCTCAAAATTTAACTCAGATAATACTTCCACCTTATTTCCCTATAGATTAAACATTTAATCTGGTCTGTGTAAAATTATTGACTGCTTAAAGTACCTTTGCCTGTCTCTATTTCTTGAGAAAAATAATAATTTAATTGGTTTAGATACATACATATAATTTATAATGCTGATTGAATTTTTTTATTCACAGAACACTTAAAAAAAAAACTAGATGACTATATTAAGCTGTGGAATGGCCTAGTAAAGGTATTCCGAAATGAGAGAAGAGAAGGTTTAATTCAAGCACGAAGTATTGGTGCCCAGAAGGCTAAACTTGGGCAGGTAGGAAATATTTCTTCTTATCGATATTTACAATGTCATCATTTTGGATTTGGTAACTAAACAATCATATTCATTTTAAGTACTTTTTTAAAAAATTGAAATGCCGGCCTAAACAGATAAACTTATATGTTAAAAATGACTCTAATGCTAACTTATGTTGGTATCTAACTTTAAATTGTGTGTGATATATGATGTGCCATATGAGTGTTCTTCACCCTGCCTCTTTTTTTTTAAGGTTTTGATATACCTTGATGCCCACTGTGAGGTGGCAGTTAACTGGTATGCACCACTTGTAGCCCCCATTTCTAAGGACAGGTAACATCACCTTGCTTTTTTGCTTTTCTGGTTGAAAAGTAAACTTCACCCTAGGACAAATGACATACTCATTCATCAAATTTCAGTTCCAGTCAACACATGAAGTGTTCTGTTCTGAGTGCTATCACTCAGCCAGTTGTTTCCCAGGGTGGAGATAGACTGATAGTTTGGGCTGATTCTGATGCAGGCAGTTGGGCGTTTGGGATAAGCCTAGGGTGTCTGATTCAAGAATCATCTGTGGTTGAGAGACTGCCTCTAGCTCCAAAAGCTTTCTCTAAGAGTAATATTGATTGCTCCCTCTCTACCACCGTAACAATTCTAAAGATTTGAAGGAACAAGCCTTGAAATTAGATGTATTGGTTTTTTAATTATTACTCGAGATAGTAAGGAGCAGTTTTGTGTCAAGGCTTTGGGATCCTATAGAAACTTTAAGTTTAGAAACGGGCAGCTATTCAATGGAAATGTGGTGATCCCCATCAAATTTACAGAAATATCTGAAACAAAAGGAGGCAGCATTCGTCTCCTGGTTCCAAAAGCCTTCCCTGTCTTTAGTCCAGAATTGTGACTATTTTGGAATCTAGGCAAATAAGACATGGCCCTATGGTGAATGGCATGTTTCAAAGGATGACCTCTGGAGGATTGAATCATCACAAGATGTAATGTAAGGCTTATTATAAACAACTAGAGGCCTGGTGCACGGATTTGTGCACGGGTGAAGCCCCTCAGTCTGGCCTGCACCCTCTCGAAATCCAACATCCACCAAGGGATGTGGCAGTGCCAAGTGGCAGGTGGCTGGGGAGGATCCCGAGCCAGGGCCAGGCCCCGCTGTGCCTTTCAGTAGCGCTGCTGCTGAGGCAGGAGAGGCTCCCGCCACTGCAGCTGCACTCGCCAGCCATGAGCCCGGCTTCTGGCTGAGAAGCACTCCTGCTGTGGGAGCGCACTGACCACCAGGGGCCAGCTCCTGCGTAGAGCATCTGCCCCCTGGTGGTCCTTGCGCGTCATAGTGACCAGTTGTTCAGTCAACCAATCATAACGGTCGCTTAGGCTTATATATATATATATATATATAGAATACATAGAGATTTTTCAATTTTTAAACCAGCTGTCTGGTTTAATCCTCACAGCACCCCTGCAGAATAGGTATTATTAGCTCCATTGTACTGAAGAGGATACCGAGGCTTAGAGAAGTTAATTAATTTGTCCCAAATCAGACAGCTAATCAACTGTCAAACCAAGATCTCTCTGGGACATCTTACACGGCACCATTTATTAAGAAATCTGAGACTCAGGAGAAGTGAGGAAAGAGAACCAACCTTCACCTCTCCAGGTGGAAACTAGCAGTCCTCTAGGGCAGTAAGGAAATGGTTTTCCACAGGATTTTGTGGCAATGCCACAGATCCCACAGAGACCCTCCACCGTCTCATAGGAGTGACCCCAGAGGGAATAACACAGCCTTCTCAAGTCCACTTACACCATATCAAAATTTTAAGCCCCTAACATTTTTCCCTTCTCCTTTGTTTCCAAACATTGAAAAGGCACTGTAATCTCCATTTTAGGAAGTGCATTTTAAATCCTCTCTAATAAAATGAGCAATGAAACAAGCAGGGGAACAGATTATCTTGGTAGAGTTGACTCTGCACCTAGTCATATAGTACTAGCATTTTCCTAAAGTCAAATGCAAGGGATTTTTTTCCTCCAAATTCTCAGGCCACACTTAAATTCTTTAGGTTTTGAGTAATCTTTTTTTCTCATTTTTTTAAAGGGTAGGAATACAATAGAGTACTCTTTTTTTTTCTCTCTCTTTGCAATGAAAACTGTTGCAATAAAAAGAAGTAGGAAAAAACGATCAAGAAAAAGTACAGAAACAGGTTTTCATAACTGCTTCCAAAGAAATAGAAAGCAACAAAGAGTTGGGAGAAGTGCTAAAAAAAACGTAGCAGTATTATCCTTTTATACAGACACATGCACACACACATTATCCTTTTATACAGACACATGCACACACACACACACACACACACACACTTATTTTATAATGGAGGATTATGGAGGAAAAGTAACAGGAAGGAAAATCTTGTAAGCAATACAAAATTACGAAGAAAAAGTTGCCTGTAGGTGAAAATGAGACAACACTATTTAAGCTAAAAGACATGGCTCTTTGTCCCTGACATTTGTCTGTGAGCTGAGGGATAAGTCTCCTTCCTTTATCCTTTCCTTATGAAAACGGGCTCTTTGACTTTTAAAGGCCATTGATTTACTTCTACTTCCCATTAGATGTTTAAGTCCCCTAATGCAAAAAAATAAACAGAACCCCCCCCCAAAAAAAAACAAAACAAAACAAAAAAAACCCCACAACAACTAAAACCCAAATCAGTGACAAAAAGAGATAATTTAGCGAGGCATGCTATACTAGTCAGTTTTGGGTTCTTAAATGCTTTTTCATTTTCTGTAAATGTTTCAGAACTACATGTACTGTGCCTCTAATAGATTACATAGATGGGAATGATTATTCCATTGAACCACAACAAGGTGGGGATGAAGATGGTTTTGCCAGAGGGGCCTGGGACTGGAGTTTACTATGGAAACGTATTCCTCTAAGCCACAAGGAAAAGGCCAAAAGAAAACATAAAACTGAACCTTATCGGTAAAGATTACTCCTTTATTTTCTTATGTGGAATGTTTATTTAAGTCCTTCTTTTTTTCCTTCCCCATGTACTCATGTATATATATGTGGGTCCGTGCATACCCTTCCATTTCATCTTTGCTGCTATCATCAACAAAATACAGAACCATTTGCACTGTGCCGATTATAGATGTCATAAATGGCAACACATACGAAATTGTACCCCAAGGGGGTGGTGACGAAGATGGGTATGCCCGAGGAGCATGGGATTGGAGTATGCTCTGGAAACGGGTGCCTCTGACCCCTCAAGAGAAGAGAATCAGAAAGACAAAAACTGAACCATATCGGTAATCACTAAATCACTTACATGTGTTTCTTTTCTCCATTTGCTGCTAACCTATTAACCTCTTGCCAAGCTATAACATTTGTTATTAAAACCGTAGGTGCTGTCTTAGATTCTGAAGACTTCTTTCTCACACTATTTCACAGGTTTAAATTCACATTCACTTCTTTATAATTGGTTTTTCCCTAAATGCAGGTGCCACTTTTTATTTTGGGGGAGCGGGGTGAAAGGGGAATGTTATATAGCATTAGTTCCAAATTCAAGCAAAAAAAGAACAATCATTATGTAAATTTACAATGCATAAATTACCTGTAATCCAAGTTTTATATCCGCTTTGATGCCTTGGATGTAATGCTAGCAATGAAAACAATAGCAAGAGATTGGGGTGTGTTTTTTTTCTTCTTCCTTTTGTTTTATATGCTAATTTTGTACCAGTTAAATCTGATTAATCAAAATACATGACTTTGGCAAATGTTGCATACACTCCTTTATTGTTGCCTTCTCAGAAGAGCACTTGATAAAAAGGAAACTGTATTCCAGAATCAGCCTTTGTCCTTCCTGTGACTCTTCTAATAGAACAATGTACGCTGTTCTGTGCTTTTAGGGTCTTTTAACTGCAACATTTGACTGTCTTTCTAAAGAGTGACTCCAAATGAAATGTTTAGTCAAATGTTAGTGTAGGCTTCTAAATGTGCCTAATTTTATTTTTCTGATCTTACGGTTCTGCTTTTGATCTCTCTCTCCCTGTTATACTACTGATAATGTTAGAACTCTGTTTTGGAAAGATGTTTCCACTGTCATGCAAATGCTGGTGGGATTTGAGCATGTCACAATATCAAGATACTGAAATGGCAAACATAAGGAAATTATAGAACTTTAAGCTCGATTTGACATTTTCCCAATTTTCCTTTGAAGTTCTTTTTTAGAATAATTCAGAAACTTACTGTTTACCTGCTTACCTGACTAATATAATCCTGGGAGAAAAAAAATAAGGGGTAATGATTATGTTTTTATTTCTGACAATTCCATAGATTAGTAAAAAAAATTTCTTTAAGTAGGTTAGAAAAATTTAAGGGAGGTTTCCCCTTGAAAGAACTCACCGGTTTTTATGTTAAGATGTATTTTCAAATATATGATGAGATAAATGAGAATATATTTAAAGATCAAAAAGGCAGAGTTATAATAATTTTAAATGACAGTTAAATAAATGTGACATGAAAATATAACCAAAAATGTAATAGTGCTAATATTTAGTGAGTTAGGCAGCATACTCTAAGAAGAAAGGGTATGACAGAATAATGTTGATCCAATGTGATTTTTCTTTAACATTGAAAAAATTACTTGATTCATTATTTATCCACTCGACAAATATTTAATGAGTACTTACTATGTGCCATGCACTATTTTCTGGGAATGAATTTTTAAAAGATAGGTTCCCTTGTTTCACTTATATAGCGGGTGAGACAGAAGTTAAACAGAAAACTACATATATAACTCTGGAACAGAGTTGATGGAAAGGATAACCTCATCCAGCCTGGAGGATCCGGAACGGCCTCTTGACAAAGTGTCACCGGAGCTGAGACCTGAGGGATGAGGGATTAACCTTATGGAGGAGGAGGGGAAACATTTCAGGAGAGTGAGCAGCACAGGTGAAAGCCCTGAGTCAGCAGAGAGTTTGGCAAGTTGAAGGCATGAGCGGAGCAGGGAAGGAGAACTCAGAGTGGAGAGAGCTGGCATGTGGGACCCATGTTGAGTCCCTTCTGCCTGTGGTGCGGTTAGACTTGGGCGGAGGCAGAAGAGAATAAAGGACACTGAACGACACAAGTTACAAAGTAACTGCAACAGTCCAAGCAGTGGTGGCTTGGTCCAGGAAGGGAACAGTGAAGTTGGAAAGAAGTAGACAGATTCAAGATGCATTTTCAAGGTAGAATTAATAGGAATTAGTGGTAGATTGAATATTAGGTGTGGTGATTTTTTAAAAAGGTACTTTAATAGAGGTATCTCAAGAATCATGATGCATTAATAATTAATTATTCGGAAAAAAAATAATTATTCGGGGTGGGGGATGCAGGCAACAGGATATAAATTAGTCCCATATCTCATCTAATCGTGTGAGTGGCTTGTCCCTATAAAGCTACCCAATTGTTTTTATCTTGTCCCTAAAAAATACCAAATTAAAGAGGCCGCACCGATCGCCCTTCTGCAGGCCTCCCCCTGGCAAAGTGGCTATGTCTAATTCTTCTGTGTCGCTTCTCCGCTGTATTTTCAAACTCTGAATGAACTGTGACTGTTCTAAGATGAATTACACCCTTATTTGGCAAGCCGCAGAGCTATAAAATTAAAAAATGACAGACTGCTTCCATGGTGTATGGTTTTGCTCATCCCATAATGACTCATGAATCATTGCAGGAGCAGTTAGCCGACCAGGGCTGTATGGCTCAGTATTTTTAGAAGTGAAAGAGAAAATGCTACTTCTACTAAATCTAAAGGCTTAATTTTTAAATTAACACAGGAGCCAAGGCTCCATCTAATGGTGAAATGATGCAATGCTCTAATTTGTAATGAACTATATGATTCTATTTCAATTAGAAATTTCAGTAAATTCACTGAGTAATTATGAACAGATCGTTTTTGCAAGTTTTTATAATTTCTTAATGTTTGGCCATCAGTTTTATCTCTTCTATGCATTATCTAGATTGTATTCTAAAATGACTCGTTGTCTATTGGTGAAGGGGCTTATCCTTAATAGTTATTCAAGTGTTTCTTTTTCTCAGGTCCCCAGCCATGGCTGGTGGATTATTTGCCATTGAACGAGAGTTCTTCTTTGAACTGGGTCTGTACGATCCAGGTCTCCAGATTTGGGGCGGTGAAAACTTTGAAATCTCATACAAGGTAACCATGCATTTAAACAAATGGCGTTTTCTCGGTCGTGACTGACTTTTGTGACTTTCAGGTAAAGGCTGGGTTCTGTTCAATGCATTTCTTTAAGTTATAAGGAACGGCTAGCAAAATGTATGCCTTTGGAGGAAAGTAGGCAAAATACAAGCTCCAAACATACTGCATATTTACATGGCTCGTCTGAAAATTGAGGCCAGGAGGCTTCAGAAATAAAAATACCTCCCCCTCCCCCACACCCAAGGCTTTCTGGACTTTGGAGCCTTTTGTTAGAGAACCCTTTGGGGAGTCTGCATGTGTTGGGGTCACATCTGACCATCCACTGACACAGTGACCCTTTATTACTATAGGACATGACTCAGGACAGAAGCAGATCCCAACGACGACTGTGCGTCCTCAGACTGACAGTGCAGCTGCCTTCCTGCAGCACCCCCATCACTGAGCCAGGCCTTGAGCACTAATGCCTTCCATGCTGCAACACCACCTCATTTCCCAAAAGAAAGAAAAAGAACTATATCACAGTTGAGTTAAGCAGATATGCGTTACCTCATGTCTTAAATGTCCAGGGCTTAGCACTGTGAGGAAGAAGAATAACTCAGTGTTTGCTCTCAAGGAACTTGCAGTCAGTAAGAGATTAGAATTATACTTAACTTCATAATATGATAAGAAGGTAGAGTGCCATTTGCTTGGTGTGATTAAGAAACAGCATCTCGCTGGAGGAAGAATTTGAGGCCGAACTAGAAAGATGGGTATGCTATCAGTAAGTAGAGATAAAGGTGTTTACTGGCAATGTTGCCTCTCGGTTCTTGAGTTTGGCAAAGAAAGAATTCAGAGGCAAGAACTCTCGCATTGTGGAAGTTTATTTAGCATGTAAAGCAAAAGTACACCCCAAGAAAATTGAGCTGGCTGCTCAGAGAGCTGCCTTGGCCTTTTGGAAAGTCACAGAGGCAGAAGTGAGCCAGCTGGGCTGTGTGGACTCGGGCAACAAGTTACATAGGCAAAAGAAGGGCCTTTGGACGCAGATTCACCCCCGGGCTAGCCCAGGCCGGCTGCCGCTGCCTACTGCTGTCCTGGTTGCAAGCTTCATGGGAACCCATAGAGCTCTGGAGAGAGAAAGCAAATATACATGCCTGAAGAAAGAAGGTGTGTGTGTGCTCTTGAGAGCGCACACAGGGTCCTTTGTCTTAGGTGTCTTTATCTGTTTTCTAAAGCAGGAATTTTAAGGGAAGTCTTGGGGGGAGGATCTCAATAGAATCTTCATCAGCTTTCCAGGTGTGCCCTTTAATATGCTGATCCATCAACATGAGCATATAGGGTCAGGATCATGGTCTCTATTAATTGGTCCATGCTAGGTTAGGGGTCATTGGTCATTGCATCTGGTCCTGATGCCAACCATGACATTTCTTTGTCTGGTTTTGCTGCTTTTCTGGGCCTGGAGCTGAAACACGACTGAGGCCCGTCCCTGTGGTCAGCAAACCTGAGGCTTTGTTCCTAACATTATGTGATGCTGATCAGAAACTCTCTGTCCTGAGGGCTTAATGCTTAAGGGAGTGGTCATGCCAGGGAGGAGGCAGGAAAATCCGGGTGCTGGATGCGGCCAGTTTGAATCGGCTGTCTGTTTCAGTTTACCCATTCTACCTGCCAAGGAATTTTTCTGGCTTCTCACTATCCTGCCTCAAAGGGAGGAGAGGGGGACTTCTGAGAAAATAGAATGGGAAGAGGTACAAAGGTGAGACATGAAGAATGTATTCAGGCCTTTCGGCCAGAACCACCATCTTCCAGTAATCCGCCAAAATGACTAACACAAAGGGAAAGAGGAGAGGCACCCGCTATATGTTCTCTAGGCCTTTTAGAAAACATGGAGTTGTTCCTTTGGCCACATACATGCGAATCTACAAGAAAGGTGATATTGTGGACATCAAGGGAATGGGCAGTGTTCAAAAAGGAATGCCCCACAAATGTTACCATGGCAACACTGGAAGAGCCTACAGTGTCACCCAGCATGCAGTGGGCATTATTGTGGACAGGCAAGTTAAGGGCAAGATTCTTGCCAAGAGGATTAATGTACGTATTGAGCATATTAAGCTCTCTAAGAGTCGAGATAGCTTCCTGAAACGTGTGAAGGAAAATGATCAGAGAAAGAAGGAAACCAAAGAGAAAGGTACCTGGGTTCAACTGAAGCATCAGCCTGCTCAACCCAGAGAAGCACACTTTGTGAGAACAATGGAAAGGAGCCTGAGCTGCTGGAACCCATTCCCTATGAATTCATGGCATGATAAGTGGGAAAAAGTATAAAAGGACTTCTGTGCTGATAAAAATGTTTCTCTTAATTGAGTATGTTTCTACTAATTGAGTAGAAGTGTAGCATCCCTCCCCCCCAAAGAATAATTAAAGAAAACTTTGTGTCACCCTAAAAAAAAGAAAAAGAATGTATTCAGGAAACAGCGAGGAGCACAGTTTAGCAGAATCTGACAGCATGAATAAGACACACATTCAAGAAGGTAACGTGGACTGGTGCATTCGGACCGTACTGAAGAGAGTCTTTCATGCTGAGCTAAGAGGTTTTTATTTAATTTGATAAGCAGTGGAAACCCATCGAAGATATTAAGCAAGGGAATAACATGACCCAAAGCTGCCCTTCAACTAGAACAGTGATGGCGAACCTTTTGAGCTCGGCGTGTCAGCATTTTGAAAAACCCTAACTTAACTCTGGTGCCATGTCACATATAGAAATTTTTTTATATTTGCAACCATAGTAAAACAAAGACTTATATTTTTTATATTTATTTTATATATTTAAATGCCATTTAACAAAGAAAAATCAACCAAAAAAATGAGTTCGCACGTCACCTCTGACACGCGTGTCATAGGTTCGCCATCATTGAACTAGAATAATCTTTTGCTATAAATAAGGATAGCATTGAAGAGAGAGAAGTTAGAGGTGAAGAAGACAGGCAGGAAATTATTATAATCACCCAGGTGGGACATATATTAGCAATGGAAACGATGAATGATGTTAGAGATGGAGACTCTGCATGGTTTGGCAAGGTTACATTGCGAAAAGGTTGCTTGGAGCGACAAGTACTTAGGAAAAGGTCCCTTAGCAGCAGCAAAAGATATTACTGCTTTCCTATCGCCTCCTTCATTATTAAATGAGTTTGGAAAACAGGCAAGTTATTTTAAGATTTGTTTAGTTTACAAATTCCCTGTGGATGCTGTATCTAATTAAGAGTTCAGATTTACAGTTACAAGGCAAATTTTTAGCCATAATTTATTTTGGCATTTGAAACAACTTCCACATGTGTTTTTTCTTGATAGATATGGCAGTGTGGCGGCAAATTACTGTTTGTCCCTTGTTCTCGTGTGGGACATATCTACCGTCTCGAGGGCTGGCAAGGGAATCCTCCGCCCATTAATGTTGGGTCTTCTCCAACGATGAAGGTGAGTCTTCTGGTTGCAAGTGGAGAAGGCGAGGGAACTAACATTTATGTACCACATGCTGTGGTACTGAGTAAATGTCAGCTCACTGAACGGGACAAGCTCTTAAGCCAGTGGTTCTCAACCTTCTGGCCCTTTAAATACAGTTCCTCATGTTGTGACCCAACCATAGTTATTTTCGTTGCTACTTCATAACTGTAATGTTGCTACTGTAATGAATCATAATGTAAATATCTGATATGCAGGATGGTCTTAGGAGACCTCTGTGAAAGGGTCGTTCGACCGCCAAAGGGGTCGCGACCCACAGGTTGAGAACTGCTGTAAGCAATCACACAGGTCCTCACTTTTACCCTAGGCTAGACTTACTCATGAAATACCTTATTGTTCTTTAAAATTAGTCATTGTATCCTATTCATGAATGTTCTCCATAAAGACATCGCAAATAAATTCCAATGGACTGACACTCTGTAGGAAAGGAAAGTAGTGGAAATGAAAATATCAACTTCTATTAGTCACAAATGAGGAAAATATTATTTTATATATATTTTTTTAATAAATCAAAATGACAAACAGCCATATCCCACAAGGCCTAATTTCACAGCAGCATGTGAAATTTAAAAACTTTAAATTAATTTTAAAAATTAATTATATTGAGAGTTTTTGTAGTAAACAAAATCAAATTTTGAGTAGTGCTTGTGAAAGATTAATATTTTTTGTCCCTTAGAACAGGACAAATCAGGGAAGCTCCATACAGAGGCCAAATGTCCCATTGCTAGGATAACAGCCTCTGTTGAAAGTCTTGGGCTGCTGTCGTAAGTTCTAAGAGCCGTTAACTCTGATGCCCTTCATTTTCTGGAGTCCTTAACCAACTCAAGGGAACTCTACAAATGAATTGTAGCGTCCATAAAAACTACCCAGGAAGTGCCATGTTCAGCATATTCTTAGAGAATGCCCCGAATGTGCCAGGCACTTTCTTTTCTCCAAATTTAGCACCATGCACTTCAACCACCAGGGGGCCAATGGTTTTTGTGGATTTATCTAGCCCATTTGTCTTTGAGCTTCAGATCTTTATAGTTAATTGTCTTCTAGAATTATCCTCTTAGATATTTCAAACTCAACGTAGTCAAACTTTTAAACTTGTTCTCAAAAATGATTCCTTTTCCTGTGTTCTCTATTTGCCCATGAATAAAACTTGGGGGGCATGTTAGGGTTGTCCAACTCACCTCTCACCTGATGAAGCCCTGACAATTCGACCTCAGACATATCTCTTAAGTCCATTCCTTGCTATGCTTAGTGCAGGTCTTTAGATGTCTCCCATGGATATTAAACAGCCTCCCACTTGGCTGTCTGTCATCAGCTTCGATGTCCTTATGTCTGTTTCCTGCTTAAAACCTTTTGATGACTCTCATATAAAGGATAAAACTCAAAGTCCATAGAAATAATAATAGCTAACACTTTTTGATTGGTTATTAGGTATCAGACACAAATCTACGTGCTTTCCATAGATTAGTTTTTTTAATTTTCACAACATACTGTAAGATAAAGACTATGATTATTCTCATCTTAAAATGAGAACAGTGAGGCGAGTTTCTCTCTGAATCCTGCACTCATTCCACCTGTGGCAAACTACTTGGAGGATTCCAAATGCATCATGATTTGCCATCTTTATTTGCATTTCTCTTTGCCCTCAATACGATACCCACCTAATTAACCACTCTTTCAAGATTGAGCCATCCAGCATCCCTCCATGATGCCCCTTTCCACCCCAAACAACTATTCCTTCTTTTTGTTGCTATAACCGTATGTGTGTGCATTTAAATCTTCACATTCATTAGTATCTAAAAGACATGGACTGTGTCTAATTTTGGATGAATTTGCAAGGATTCAAAATAGTTAGCTATCTTACATGCTCTTTTAGGATACCACTGCTTAGGACTTTGTTGAAGCCAATAGCTTTTGCAATAACATGCTTGCAAGGTCACGTTCACCCTTTGAGAGTTATCTTGTAGTCTAGAAAAAAAATGTAAAAGAATGCTAGATTTTCCTACTCCTGATGTAAAACAATGGGCCAGATCCAGCCCTATAGTAAATCAAGTTGTATTGGAGCACAACCCACACCCATTTGTTTATACATTGTCTATGGCTACTTTCTCAGCAGAGTTGAGTAGTTACAACAGAGATATCTATGGCCCACTAAGCCAAAAATGCTTTCTCTCTGGCCCTTTACAACAAAGTTTGCTGAGGCATGCTGGAGAAGACCAAGAGACTAGATTGAGTGTGTACTAAATCTGTCACGTATATTCATGCCTACATGCAGCATTCGGTAAAACCTTAGAAGTTAGGTCTTTTTCAGTTATCACAATGTCAGCTGATTTTATTGTTCATTAGTTACTTTTTTCTTAAAGTGTGCCAACTGGGGAAAATACCCAGTTAATTCTGGGTTATGGTAAAAATGGTCCTATTATAGTTGTAAGATGTGTTTTATTAAAACTATTGTTTTTCGTGATGGTTTCTGAAATGGGGTTTTTCCCTGCATATGCTAGTAGTATGGAGATAATTCTGGGAGGAGCACCAGTGTCTAGCCAGCCTCTCATAAACCCCTCTAGGTAGCAAATCTTCCTTTAGAAGCAGGACAGAATATAGTCTCTTAAAATAGATATCTCTTGCAGCTAAGAGTCTATGTCCATCACTTTTTAGTTGAACATGCATGATGATTTTATCCTTGGCAGTTGACATATTAGAGTCATTAGCTCAGTTGCATTTGTTGTTTAAATATTAGGCCTTATTGAAATAAGTTTGTTATATGTTGGTCATATTTCAGATGTCTAAAAGAAGCTGTTTATGACATTACAAATATTTTTATTTGTTATAATGATATTAATTTTTTTCTCCACAGAATTATGTTAGAGTTGTTGAGGTCTGGTGGGATGAATATAAAGACTACTTCTATGCCAGTCGTCCTGAATCAAAGGCATTAGCATATGGAGATATCTCTGAGCTGAAAAAATTTCGAGAAGATCACAACTGCAAAAGTTTCAAATGGTTCATGGAAGAGATCGCTTATGATATCACCTCACACTACCCTTTGCCACCCAAAAATATTGACTGGGGAGAAGTAAGTATCAGTGATATTCAGATATCAAAGTGCGTGTGTTTGGAGACTTGAGTTTGGGAGAATGCAGGGAGAGATGAAATGTATGAGGGAGAAGAATCTTGAGGGAAAGTTTGGGTAAATCTGTCTGGTACCTCCCCCACCTTCCCAGTTACAACCACCCGGAGAAGTTGACTGTGTGTCCCCTCTTCTCTGCACATATGTCTCCTCTAGTCGGGAACACTGTCTACTCTCTCCTGCCACTTCTCTGCCCCTCAGTCTGACTCCCTTTCTTGGCTAATTCCAACTTATTATTACTGCATTCAATGTAGGAATTACCATTGTAGCTTTTCTCAATGAAAAGTCTTTCGTATTCTTTCCCACTCCATCAAAAAGACTCAGTCCTGTGGTTTTTGCATGAGTTCTCATAACACTGAAAATTGCCTCTCTCTTAGCCGGTCAGTTAGTATATGTTCACCATTGTGTCCCAGTGAACTGCTGCAGAGACCCCCATATACAATAGGCCCTCAAAATGCTTGTCAAGTGAATGAATTAATTAATGGTAGCTGGAAATAATGAAAATCAAAGTCATTGATCTGTGTTGTCATTTCTTTGTTTCTTCAAACTTGCCTTTGTAACTGGGTGCATTTCTGATTCACCCACCCATATGGTGCTGTATTAAACATGCCACGAACTTTCACATCTATATGTTTTTGCTTAATTATGTGTCCCAACAAATATTAGCTGAGCCAGTCACTCTTCTGGATAGAAAACAAGACAAACAAGGTCCTTTTCCTCAGGGAACTTACATGCCAGTAGATGAGAGACAACCCCCGCCCCCCCAAAAAAACAAAAAAACAGGAAAAACAAAGAAGATACTGATAGATGGTGGTAAAGGCTATGAATGAAATTAGCAGGTAATGTTCAAGAGGACATAAGGGTAGGGCAGGGAAGGCTTCTCTGAGGAGGTGACATTAATCTGAGATCTGAAATCAGAGAGCTGGGAAAGTTCCAGGTAAAGAAAATGAGTTTGAAGGCTCTGAGCCAGGAAATGCTTTGCATGTTTGATGAGCAGAAAAGAGCAGGTTAAATGAGACGAAGTGACAGGCAGGTGAGGAGGGAGGAGTTTTATCCTAAGGGTGGTAGGAAGCCATGCAAGAGTTTTAAACAGAAAGGTAACGTTATTTGATTTATGCTGTTGTTTGTAATCACCCTGCTGTGAGAATTTAGAGTAGAAACAATAATGACAGTTTAGGAAATCAGTAGGGTATTTCCAGTGAGAAGTGATGGGGGTTTGGACGAGGGCGGTGAGGACAGAGATGAAGAGAAGCATACAAAGTGAAGATCTGGAGGTAGGTCACTGATGGATTTGTATGCAAAGGACATGGGCCAGGATGACATTTAGTTTTGTTTTTCATTTGAGTAGTGGACCAGGTGGCATCTGAGATTAGGAAGTTGGTAGCCAGGATGAGTGAGTGGGGTCGGGAATAGCAAGTTCTCTCTTGGTGTTCTGGACTTGGGAGAGGCCCAGGTGGAGTTGTCAAGTAGATCATAAGCCGTGTAATACTGAAACCCAGAACAGAGGCAAAGGCACATCTAAGGATGTATGCTTGGAGCCATCAGTAGGTGGATTGTTTCATGGGGCTGGATGAGAAAACATAGATAGAAAACAGAGGACAGGATCCGTTCCAAAGGAATTCCAAGAAGCCAACAAAGGACTCTATGCCACTCTCTCTGCACCTCTTATTTTAGTGCCTTTATCCCAGTACCCTTATTTCACCTCTGTGTGCTATTACAGCAAGTTGTGTTTAACTCCCAACTAGAGCATGGCCCCTGGCAGCTCAGACCCCAGTTTTGGTTATCTTTTAATCTCCTAGTTAGTATAGTGCCTTCTATGCAAAAGGAAGGAATTCTCTTGGTGATCTTGTCTGTCTCGTTGCTTTAAAACCCTCTACATGCTGGTGACCCCAGTTTCTATCTTTAACCTAAATCTCTCTCCCAGAGCGCAGACAGGTATGTCCAACTGCCTAGTGGACCTCTCCATTTGACTAACAGGCATCTCAAACTCAACGCATCCAATAGTGACCTCCCTGTCTCCCCTCCCCAGCCTATCTTAGCTGACTGCTCAGGCCAAAGCTTTGGAGTCTCTTTTGAATCCTTTCCTTCTCTCTCACTTACATCTAGTTCCAGACTCTGATCCTTTCTTACTCTCGTCTAAGCCACCACATCTCACTGAAACTAGCTTTGCCTTCCTACTTCCTGTTCTAAACACAGCAGTCAGGGTGGTCTTTCAAAAATGATCATGTTACTCTGTTAGAAACCTGCAGTGACACCTCCTGTTCCTCAAAGAGAAGGCACAGTCCTTTCTAATGGCCTCTAGGGCCTGCATCTCTGGCCCTATTCCTCTGTGGCCTCACCTGCTACTCCTCTCCTCACTCACTCCAGCCCCACTGTCCTCCGTACTTAGTGCAGGCAGCCTTTGCTGCCCCCTCTGCCTGGACCTCCTTCCCTCTGCGTGCGTAGCTAACTCTTACATACACCTCAAGTCTGCTCCCCTGGCACCTTCTCAGTGAGATCCACCTGCTATCTATCCCCCAAACACTCCTGGCCACACAGGCCCTCATTAACTTGCTCTTTTTCTTTTCTGTTTCACGGCACCTATCCCTCTCTAACATGTCTATTGTGGCTTGGGCTTATATTGTTTCCTTCCCTAGAAGATAAGCTCACAGGGGCAAGGGTCTTTATCCTTTTCATTCATGGGTGTATCAGAGCCTACAACATAACTGACACAGTACTCACTTCATATTGGATGAATAACTAAATGCCCAAGTGAATCAATGCATGGAATTTTCTGTCCTCCCTTTACAATCTCAATCTGAATACATCTTCAGTTTAACCGCTTCCTGTTCTGGCACCTTACATTTCACTTCTCAGCCTTCCCTGCACATTCCACCAGCTGCTTCAGAATTCCTCCAGGCGGCTGCGGGAGAGGGCTCTTCCTCTGCATGTCCATCCTGACTGACTTGACCCCTCAGCCTCCCTGCAGACATGAGGGTCCTGAGGACCAGGACTTGCTTTTGCTTCTCTTTGTATCTTCTAAAGCTCTTACATTGTCACAGTGCTCGGTCAGTATATACTGACTGAATGAATAAAACATATATTATAGTAATTTATAATTGAGATACATAATGTTTCTAAAAAGGGAAAGGGTTGTTTTTATAAGAAATGTGCATTTCCAAGATGGAAACTGTGTTGGCTTTTCACCTTCCTTATACATAGTCAGAGAAAAGTCTCACTGCCTGGTCCAGCTGCCATAACGTTCGCCCCTTGGGTCCCTGCAGACAGCTACCAAAAGTGCCTCACAGCCATTTGGGAGAGTTACTTTACAAATTCAGTTCTGGTCTAGACATCTAGGGCCAGTGTCTGTGACCACTGTGGTTAGGTAACTCTAGTTGCTTCTCATTCACGTGAATTATCTGAGTCTGAGATTGTACTTAATAGTTACTGTCTTTTAATTTTTTTTCTTCTGTGGTATTTTATCAAAATCTATAGGCCAATGCCCTTCCTTGGAATGAGCCCATTCTAATGCTGAGTTAAAGACCCTAAATTATTTCAAAGATGACTACTATGTTCTAAGCTATTCCAAGACTGACAATAAATACAATAATAACCTGGCATTACACACACCCAAATGTCCACTATGAACTGCAATATTTAACATGAAACTCTTTTACTCTGATGTTAGGGCATAATAAAAACTAAACAGTTGCCTGCTATTGGTTCTTTGTTCCTTTTTTAGATCAGAGGCTTTGAATCTGCTTACTGCATTGATAGCATGGGAAGGACAAATGGAGGCTTTGTTGAACTAGGACCCTGCCACAGGATGGGAGGGAACCAGGTAAATTACCTCCTTTCATATTTAAATTGGTTCTATAGTGAGAGCTGCCAGGCTTGTTGATCTTGGGAATTCCTTTGCTTTTCAGTTTGGTAATTTTCTTTGTTTGGTAAAGTAAACCATTCAGTAAAAAAAGAAAAAGAAAAAACGGACTGAGCTAAAACTTTTAGTTAAATGAGGCTATAATAGCAGCACTGCTTTTCACATAAGCAGTCATAATCTAGAATTTAATATAAGACATTCTATCCTATATAATAAAGGGCTAATATGCAAATCAACCGACCGGTTGCTATGACATGCAGTGACCACCAGGGGGCAGACGCTCAATGCAGGAGCTGCCCCTGTGGTCAGTGCGCTCCCACAGGGGGAGCTCTGCTCAGCTAGAAGCCAGGCTCACACTGGCAAGCGCAGCAGCATCCCCTCCATGGGAGCACTAAGGATGTCCAACTGACGAAGAGGCACCAGGCCTCTAGTTAGAATATATTCTTGTGTGAGTCCATAACTCTGCAAGCCTAGCTCCCTAATAATTGTATTTGCAAATATTATCCAGAATTCCACATTTCTTCCCAATAAGCTGGAATGTTACTGCCAGTAATGTATATTCCCCTAATATATTTTCCTACTTCCTTATGTGTTTTTCTTGCCTCTAAGTTAGATTGTAAGCCATCAGATCTGTTTTCACTTGTATTTTCTCACATTGTCGGTACTTGATAAATACGTGTTAATGTCCCCTTCTAAGAGGCTACAGAACATAATCCTTCCAGTGTTAGTTTGCTAACATCAAAATGAATACAATTCCAGTCTTTGGATTTATAGTTTTGAACATACAAAAATATTATAGAAAAATAAGATAGCCATTGAGTTAGTTTTTGTGTATCAGCAGAGAAGGTGTCTGTTATTTTTTTTCTTTTCTTTTTTTAATAGCTTTTCCGAATCAACGAAGCTAATCAACTCATGCAGTATGATCAGTGTTTGACAAAGGGGCCTGATGGATCAAAAATCATGATTACACACTGTAACCTAAATGAATATAAGGAATGGCAGTACTTCAAGGTATTCTACATTTCAACTTCCAAAATAATAATACGCAATTTCATTTTAATAACACCTACCTTGTGGAATTTAGATGTATAAATCTTAAAACCTGCATTCAAATCGACTTGCATTTCCCTCTCATTCAGTCATTTGTTTTCCTGAGCACTAATGACTCCATTGTTCCATAATGAACCATCACTTGTATTCTCTGGTGCAATGTTGTCATGTAACGAGGTCGCAAGATGTCCGCAAAGGCCCACTAATCTCAGTAACCCAGGAAAATCAGTATTCTGTGAGGGCAAATATATGTAACAAAAAAAATATTGTGTTTATATTTCATGTTGTCCAGCAGGTGGCGTTGGAGACAGACAAATAACACTTGGAAATCTAGGCCTTCACTACTTCCTTATCATTGTTTTATAGATACAATCGTTAGATAAATGTTGCCTGTTCCTTGCTTTAAAGGTCATATTTAGTTGACACTTTGGGAAGGAACAGTTTTTCTATTTTAGCTGTGAATATTCAAGAGTTCTGTGCCAAGTTGAGGATTCCATCATATTGATGGATGGATGTATAATTTTCAAAGTATGCACTTGGCTAAAATAAATTGTAAAACAAAGTTTGGAAAGCTACCCCAAACTGAAATAACCTGGCAACCTCAACTTTATTTACTCATTTAATATATGTTATCATACCGTGTCTGTCATGCAAGCACTTGTTTACTATGTAGGTATGTTACTATGACCCAGCTTAATATTCCCAGTCATCAACATTCATAGATAATTACTATAAAGTGGTGAGTGTGTCAATTGCTGATTTTTTTATGACAAGTTAGGAAGGAGAAGATCAGCATAAATCTTGAAGAACAAAGCATTTATTTCCACAAAGAAATTAATAATAGCAGTAAGTGATAGGGGTCAGGGAGAACAATATTAGTAAAGTAGTAAAAGAAGGCTAAGAGACCAGAAACTACCATTGAGAAGTAATAGATTAAAAAATGGAATGTGCATATTTTATATACTTTAAAGGGCACAGCACTAAATATACATTTGTGCATCAGACATTACTAAACATACAGGGGTGGGCAAAAGTAGGCTTACAGTTGTGAGTACATGAAAGTTTATTTTTGTATTTATTAATTATTATTTTTATTATTATTAGTTTTTATTATTTCATATCCTTATAATTTGTCTTTTAGTTAACGATGGCTGATAATTTAACTAATGACCAATGAAAGTGGACACTTAAATCTACTTTTTCCCACCTCTGAATACTAGGGCTAGTGACTTCAAAAAATAAGCACATCATACTACAATAGCAGAGAAGGGGGGGAAGGTAGAAATTAAAATAAGCATAATGCCATAAGACAGCAGAAGAGAGGTTAATAGGAATTTTTTCTGATGAGTTTCATAGAGGAAGTATCATTGCACCGGTATCACTGAAGTATAAAGAGATTTCTAATGGAGAGTAAATAAGAAAAATGGGTGAGCAAAGGCATGGCATGAAAGTGTATAGAGAAAAATTCGAGGAATCACATTTAGAATTTCCCTCCATATGACAGAGCATTGAACTTCACTTTGTAAGTTTAGGAGAGCAGTTGGCATTATTTGAGAAATGCAGTGATAGGAAACAGTTGATACTTTTAGGAAAATAATTCTGGAAACATTGTGAATATGAACTGTAAAGCTTCATCAGAAGTTCTCAAACGCTCCGGTCTCTGGATTCCATTTACCCTCTTAAAAATTATTGGGACTCTTCTCACACAGATTATGTTTATGTAGATTATAGCTAACAAAATATCCAAAATTGGAGATTAATCCAATAAATTTTACAGGTATTTATGTATTAATTTATAATTTATATAAAACTAATACTAGCCCTATTGCATATTAATATAAATACTTTTAATGAATAATAACTTTTTCAAAAAAAGTGAGGAAGGCATTGTTTTATAGTTTAGCAAATCCCTTTAATATCTGGTTTAATAGAAGGCAGCTGAATTCTCATACTACTTCTACATTCCATTTGAAATTATATATTGTTTTAGTTGCAGTAGATGCGGAAAATCCAGCCTCACATAAACATTCAGTTGGAAAAGAGGAATAATTTAATAGCATTTTCAGATAATTTGGCTATTCTTTGATGCTACTACACAAGTCTATAAGTGATAGTTTCTTAAGTTATTTGTCGTGTAGAATCTGAAACCATATAAGTGAACACTTTCCTATGTTACATTAAAATCCATTGGTCTTTGAATGGATTTTTTACCCATATGAGCTTTTGTAACATCATGCATTGCTCGTTTGGAAAATCATGGTTTACTAAGTTATGATCTTGCAAATGGTGACACATTTCATTGTGCAATGTCAAAAATATACATATTAAGAAGCTATCACGTTCACGGTGGTGGTTGCCAGTTTTCAAAAATTCTTAATATTTCCTTGAAAACTCAACTTGTATCAATGGCACCAAATACTGTCAGATTTGTGGATTTGTTTTTTGTGATTGTTTTTTTTCTTCTTGAAGGGAGAGGCTTACTTCCTTTTCATGAAAATGTCTACAAAGTTTAAATAATTGTAGTTTATCTGTGAGTTGACCTTTCTAGTCAAAATGACAAATCATGAAAAAAGCAGCTAGTTGAACTCTCAAGTCAGACAGTTGCATGTGTACTTTCCCTCAAGATAACCGTGGTAATCACTATACAGAAGTGTCTTATGCATATTTCCCATTTCATCTTATAGAATCTTCTTAAAAGTATACTCAAGGGTTAAGATTTAGTAAAACTAATAAGTTTTACTGCTTCATCAAGGACATTCTTAAGTGAAACTGGCATTTCCTTTTTTAACTGTTAGAATGGACTGTTAGCACAGTTTTGTGACACTGCTTAATTTATGCTGAGGCACCAGCACTTTTATCCACCATTGCTTTTGCACTGTCAGTATAAATGTCAATACGAGGAAAAAGGCAAATAGGGCCTTTGTATTATTATCAAAATAGTTTCAGCCTTACAGATACAATCTTAGATAGCCTGAGGACCACCCTCTAAGAAGCCCTGACCTATGTGAAGAAACCTACAGCAGATGATGAGGGCTAACCTCTAAGGCATTGCAGCGGGGTGGGAAAGGGTGTATACCAGAGATATGGCAAATATCACCCCGTGACTGCTCTACAGGAAGGGAGGGAGGGAAAGGACGTGAGGAAGGGAAGAAGGTACAACATGGATGCCTCTATCGTGAGGACTGGAAAGCTGATATTGTCATTAGTCAGAATAGGAACTAGAAAAATAGATTTGGAGGGAAAGATAATGAATTTAGGTTTGTATGCACTGAACTTGAGGTACCAGCAGTACATTATAACATAAGTCTTTATATAAACAATAAAAGCACTTACAAGACTGACGATCAAGAAAAGTCCGAAGTCTGATGTATGGTTGATTGGTTGAAGCCTGTCCATCTTGCTTGAATTATCATCTTTTTTTTTTCCAAAAAAATTTTTTTTCAAGTACAGTTGACATTCAATATTATATTAGTTTCAGGTGTACAGCATAGTGGTGAATCCCCCCAATAAGTCTAGTCCCCAGCTGCCACCATACATAGTTATTACAGTATTATATTCCCTATGCAGTACTTTACATCCCTGTGACTATTTTGTAATGGAACAGAATAGAGAGCCCAGAAATATATCTATGCCTATTTGGTTAATTAATCTGTGACAAAGAAGACAAGAATATATAATGGGGTAAAGACAGTCTCTTCAATAAACGGTGATGGGAAAACAGCACAGGTACATGCAAAAAATGAAACTAGATCACTTCCTTACACCATATGTAAGAATAAACTCAAAGTAGATTAAAAACTTAAAATATAAGACCCAAAACCATAAAACCCCTAGAAGAAAGCAAAGGCACTAAACTCTGACATGCTCTTCTTAATGTTTTTTTGGATATGTCTCCTCCAGCAAGGGAAACAAAAGAAAAAATAAACAAATGGGATTACATCAAACTAAAAGGTTTTTGCATAACAAAGGAAACCGTCAACAAAACGTAAAGACATCCTACTGATTTGAATTAACTTCGTATGAAAGCCAAATAAGGACTTCTTCTAATGTCAGTAACATCAAAAAAGTACAAATTTAAAACTTTTTCTGTGTTTTCCAGAACCTGCACAGGTTTACTCACATTCCTTCCGGAAAGTGCTTAGACCGCTCAGATGTCCTCCATCAGGTGTTCCTCTCCAACTGTGACTCCAGTAAAATGACTCAGAAGTGGGAAATGAATAACATCCACAGTGTTTAGAAAGAATAAAAGAAACCAATAACCTACCTACTGACACGTAAATTTTCACAGGACTGAAAACCGCCTGAAACCTGCTGCAACTATTATTAACTCTGTACAGCTCCAAACCCAGCACCTCCTGATAGGTTTGAAGGACATTGATAAACTGTGATTTTACAATAACATTGTCATCTGCAGTTACTGTTTACAAAACTGCTTTTACCTTAAACTTTATAGATGTTTACATCTTTTTGTGTTGTTTTGTTTTAAGATGATGTTGGTAATTTGTGCATTTATATCTGTTCAGAACAGAGCTAAAAGCATCGTTGTCTTCTTTGGGATTACACTCAGGGGTCTGACAGGCAGTTTGATTTTTTTTTTTTTAACACACTTGAAAAAAGGTTGGAGTAACCAGACTTTCATATATAACTTGGTGATTATCAACCTGTTGTGTCTTTATTTAATTTTACATCTTTTTGAAGCACTGCCACAGGTTATTAGCCAAGGTGGCCTTCCTTCACCGTCATGCTGCTTTTTTGAAAGGTGAATTTCAACACATTTAGTGCCTCTTTCATTTTCTCAGTATATATTTCAAGAGCTTTCAATGAAATGTATAGGATGGTAATGATGGAATTGTCACCAGTAAATACTTTTACTACTCAGAAATGAATTTATGTGCTACCATTTGCTCTGAGATCAAATGTTGTATGGCTTGAAAAAAAATTAACAACATGAAACCCCAAGGCTCTTCCATAGGAACTGAAGATTGTATGGCATTAAGTTCCTTACTTGCTGGCATTCCCACTGCCCTCTGTTAATACCAACTCCTAAAAGAGCAGAAGGGTCTGCCAACTAGAAAAAAATTGACCATTGACCTCTGGAATTTACTTTCCCCCAATACCTGTCATTATAGAAAACTATAATTCTCAGTTTCAAATCTTAAAATGGGGGAGAGGGAGGTAACAAAAACAACAAAACACTGCTGTAAACAAACATCAAAGGTTCATTCTGAAGAATTTTCAAGCCCTTGTTAAATTAAGCCTTACAAAGCTCCTGTGCATTATAACCTAAGCTGTGCAACCTTTCAAGCCAAGAGTGAATGGATGTTTTATTTATATCTTCATCCAAATAAAATTCCCTGCACATTTAAAAATTTAAATAGGCTATTTAAAAATACAGTTCATTAACAAACATGAACTCCTTTCTGTTAGATTAAGTGTTAGTTCCCTAATCTTTATTTTTTTATTTTTTCCCCCTAATCTTTATTAATTCTTTTAGGAAGTATATTTCTATTAGTATTTTTCCAGTAAAAAGAAGACTTGTTTGGATTTAAACATTTACTAAGACAGTATAGGAAAACCAAATACTGGAGATGATTGATTAGATTTTTATTTCTAACGAAATACTCTTTTATTGCTCAAAATATTAAAATGCTATGTTAAGCCTGACCGGCGTGACTCAGTGTTTGAGCATCGACCTTTGAACCAGGAGGTCACAGTTCAATTCCTGGTCAGGGCACAAGCCCTGTTGTAGGCTTGATCCCCAGTAGGGGGCATGCAGGAGGCAGCCAATCAATGATTCTCATCATTAATGTTTCTCTCTCTCTGAAATCAATAAAAATATATTTTTAAAAATAATAAAATGCTATGTTAAGGGGGGGCAAATAACATGAGTTGGGGAATGGCAAGTAAATTAAGCATTTTTGATCCTGTAATTATGATATCATTACAATGAATGGAATTCACAAACTACTGCCAGAGGGAAATATTTTTAATTAAAGCTCAAAAAAGAAAAAAACAACAACAAAAAAACAAAACCCTACATTTGTTTAAATGAAAAGTCTACAAATCTGTTTCTTCCAAGGCTAGTCCTTAAATTTGGAGAGTTAAACATCCTAAACAGAATTTTATTTATAATTTTGAATTGTCTATTTGTATTTTGCTACTGATCTATAATCAACCATTTTAACTTTCATTCATCTCTAGAGATGTTTAAAAAGGAGTAAATTTATATGCTTAAATAATTGCAAAATAAATCAACTATAAGAAAGAAAGAGAGTTGGTACTTTAATTACTTGTGTGTTTGCAAATAGGTTCCATTTTTCTTGTTGAATAAATTACAACCTTGTTAACTATGCATAGGCCTAAGAAAGGTGGCACATAAACTGTGCATGTAAATTTTAAATAGATATTTTGTGCAATTCGTAGATAATCTATGAAAATGATTCTCTATATTGAAATCAGAAACCTTACCAAACACACACAAAAAAAACAACATCAGAAGCTGCTGCCATAATGACTATTTTCTACTGTAGGCTGCTTTGGAAATAATTCCCATATCCTTGCTTTGTAAGTTGATAATATCACTATGCATTTCTACACATTTTATAAATTTGATTTGTGCAGATTTTGATACACTGTATGTTTCTGTAGAAATTATATAAATATTCAGAATTTTATTAGGGATAAATTTGAGAAGTTTATGTATATCTTAATTATGGGTTGCTTGTTTTTTAGATGAGAAAAAATAAAATACTGTATTTTAATTCATGGGTTTTTTCAGTACTTGTAATCATTTCTAAATCTTATTACTGCACATTCGAAGTAATAACTGGATTGTTATGGATTGTTCCTAAGATAAACAAATAGAATAGCTAAAATATCATAAGCCATAGTTATATATTGAGTATGTGCTTGAGTTTGGGGTTGAGTTCTTAGAGTGTGCTTAGAATACTCAGACCTTACCTACTGGTATGTGTAGGAAGGAAACAAAGGTTTATTTTTGCCTCTGGTTACCTATGTGTAGCAATTTTTTTTTTTTTTAAAGTCCCATATCCAATTACAAAAAAACAAACAAACCCAGCAACATCTTTTTGACAGTAAAGTCTACAATATAATTGCCTATTGAAAGCAAAAATGTCTTTTAAGTCAAAATTCTCTACAACTGACCAAGTGGGTAGAAAGAAGGGAAGCCTACCAAAATGAAGTTAGAAATAGGTCATAGGACCTTGTGGCACAACACATGGCATCTCAAGAAGATTGGCTACTAACATCCAAGTAAGTGACCTTGTTGATTTGGGAAACTTGTTCTAAACTAACTTGGCTATTGTGTCTTCCAATTTTCAGCTCCTGTGCCTAAAAAATATGAAAAAACTGGCAGCTCCAGACTGGAGTAAATGTGGGCTCACGTATTTCTTAAGATAGTCTCTCACGGGGATCTTGAAATAAATTTCACTTCTAGACAGAATGTAATTGAGGAAAAAATCTGCTGATAATTCAATAGAAAATATGACAAGTACCTGACCTGAGCCAGATACCCAGTAGGCCAGTAGTTTGTGCATGTGAAACCTAATCCATTTGAAAACACTTTTAGAAAGTATTGAGTATTATAAAAATGCGTTTTATTCATTAGAATCAATCTGTTGCAAGAAAATGGACAAAAGTCAGAATGATTTGAGGGGAATGCTATCCCTGAAATTAGAAATTAAAGGAGGGACTGTTTCTAAATTCAATAATTGCTTTGCAGTTTTCATTTTTAAAATTTTGAAATGCCCATAATTAAGGTTGTTGGATGTCTATTTTCTAAGTGAATCAGGCCTGGTAACCGCATCTGAACAGAGGTGGGATGAAGGGTTCTGCAATTTTTATAATAGAATGATGTTTCAATCTGGTCATCTGAATAGTGGTATAGTATATGTACTTTGTATTGGAAACCCAACTCCACTACAAATTACTTGTTTGACTTTGGATAAGTTATTTAACCTCTATGCCTCAGTTTTCCCTTTTGTAAGATGGGGAAAATAATAGTGCTTATTTCATAGGATTGTTACTAGGATTGAATAAGTTAATGTACGTAAAGTACTTATAATAGTTCTTGCATATATTCAGGGTAATATAAATGTTAGCTATTATTACCTCATTTCAAAGTTTTAAAATCTGTCTATCAGATTTAAGACAGCTACATTGCAGACCTTATATAAAGACTGTGTGTGTGTGTAACTGTGCTTCATATATGAGATATTATTATCCCCACTTTACAAGTGAAGAAATGAAGTTTAGAAGTTAAGCTTCCTCTTAAACTGGGAGTGACCTAGTGTTCAATAAGGGAATAAAGTGTTTATCACACCATTCATATAGCATGTGTAGGATGTAATCTCAGTGGTCCAATTGAACACTTGGATAAAATTAAGTGCATCTTGAAGAATGTATTCTTTAAATTATGAAATTTGTCTCAGGCTTTTGATATGAGCAAGTAAACGCTATCTGTATTAACAATTAAATGCATAAAGCAAAACTAAAACTTTCAGTAAAAAATAGAGATCAACATACCTCCATGTCTGCCCATACATAGTAATGAGTATTGGACACATACTCCTGTCCTAAACAACTATAAAACTGGACAAAATATATGGGGCAACTGTTTTCAGGAGTTGTATAACAGGCAAAGCCGACTGAGATACTTGAGAGAAGGGAAGCACAGCAGGTGAACCCCAGGTTCACCATGTCTGTCTACCAAACATGGTACAGGAAAGTGGAGCTCAAACAGTGGTCATACCACTAAGGTGAAGAGTGAGTTTGGGGCTGCTGAGACAGCTGGAATTTACAGGGGAGGTTACTGAAGGGGAGTGCACTTGACCACCAGAACTGCACGGAAGTTTGTACGGCACTGGACAAATTGTGGTATAATCATACAATGGAATGTTACAAAGCAATGAACATGAATGAACTGGTCATATATAAGTCAGTAAAATACTGTTGAGGGACAAAGACAATTCCCAAAAGACTATTCAACAAACACTTTCTGTGAAATCAAAAGCAACTAAAACATCCAGTCACACATTTATATGTGGTAGAGAGGTTAAATAAACTTGTCCAAGCTTACAGATTTAGTATTGGAGCCAAAGTCATAAACAACTCTAATATTCCATGTCCTCAGAACCCTGTGGGATGAATTTCTATCAGTGTTTTCTATGTTAACTGCAGTTTTCCTCTTCACCTTGACTGTCAAGAATCTCAGAACTAAATCTAATATTCTGATCATAAAACTATATTAACCCATACATATTGGTATATTTTCTTAAACTAATATTTATTGAGTATTTACTATTTCTGGCCAATAGGACAAGTGTTTTAAATGCAATGCCTTATTTAATACTAAAAAAAAAAAATTCTCATTTTACAGATGGGGAAACTGAAAGGTTACATGACTTGTCTAATGTTACTGAACCAAAAAGAAACAGAGCCCAGCTCTGACCTGATTCCCAGGTATAAGCTTTATCACTTTACTCTTAATTTCTTTCATAACCTTGTTTTCCCTTTTGTATGTGTTTTTTCATTTTTTCTTTGTATAAGCGATCCCATCTTGATTAGAAAAAATGTGGAGAATTAAAGAATAGCACATAAATTTGAATGAATTAATGTTTGACTATCTCTTACCAGCTGTCCTAGGACATTGAACTAGTTGACCGCCATGTCTCCCTGAAAAAGATGGGTCCAATTGATATAATGCTCATTTCTAGTTCCAAAATTTGATGCTACATATTGCTTTAAAAAAATTTTTTTCCTTTTAAGGTGGCAACCTAATTGTGCTCCTGAGCCACTTTTTTTTTTTTTAATTCATTTCAGAGAGGAAGGGAGAGGGAGAGAAAGATAAAAACAGCAATGATGAGAGAGAATCGGCTGCTTCCTGCATGCTCCCCACTGGGGATCAAGCCCCAACCTGGGCATGTGCCCTGACCTGGAATTGAACCTTGGCCTCCTGGTTCATAGGTAACGCCCAACTGCTGAACCCTGCTGGTTGGGCCTGAGCCACTCACTATGCTATAGATGTAAGTCCAGATGAGGCTCACTAAAGGAGAAGTCTGCACTGTAAATCCTGAAGAAAAAAGGCCCAGGAGCACAAGGAAATTCCATTACAACCTCAGAAACAATGTCTATGTTTATGTTTACCACAGGATAAGAAGATAGATGAGTTTCCAGTCAGGGCAAGGAGAGTGTCTTAGACAACTATAAAAACAATGTTTAGCTGGAAGGCATACATAAACTTTTCTCAACAACCCTATCTCAGGTAAATATTAATAATTTTATATTCACCTATACTATTCAATTTATAAAAGGGGCAAATTGGTGAACCTTAGGCAGAATTTTACCTGTAGACATGTTTTCTTTGGACATTTGAATTCATTGCTAATATTTACAATTCAGATTTCACAGAACTAGAATACTCCAAAAATTTATATGGAACCATAAAAGACCCCAAAAAGGTGCAGCAATCTTGAGAAAGAAGAATGAAGTTAGAGGGATCACAATACTAGATATCAAACTATATTACAAAGCCATTATAACCAAAACAGCCTGCTACTGGCACAAGAACAGGCATCAGACCAATGGATCAGAACAGAGACGCCAGATATTAAATCCATACTGTCAATTAATATTTGACAAAGGAGGTAAGAACATGCAATGGAGTAAAGACAGTCTCTTCAACAAATGGTGCTGGGAAAATTGGACAGACACATACAAAAAAATGAAACTAGACCACCAACTTACACCATACACAAGAATAAACTCAAGATGGATAAAAGACTTAAATGTAAGGCATGAAACCATAAAAATCTTAGAAAACATAGGCAATGGCATCTCAGACACTTCACGTAGCAGAATTTTTGCTACACATCTCCTCGGGCAAAGGAAATCAAGGAGAAAGTAAATAAATGTTATTCCATCAAAATAAAAAGTTTCTGCACAGCAAAAGAAACCACCATCAAAATGAAAAAGGAACCCACTGTAAGGAAAACACATTTGCCAATGATATATCTGATAAGGGGTTAATCTCCAAAATATATAAAGTACTCATACAACTAAACAAAAGGAAGACAAACAATCCAATTAAAAATTGGGCAGAAGACCTGAATAGAGATTTCTCTGAAAAGGACATACAAATGGCCAAGAGACTTATGAAAAAATACTAATTATCAGAGAAATGCAAATTAAAACTACAATAAGATATCACCTCACACCTGCCAGAATGGCTATCATCAAAAAATCAACAAGTGCTGGCAAGGATGCAGAGAAAAAGGGAACACTAGCCCTAACTGGTTTGGCTCAGTGGATAGAGTGTCAGCCTGAGGACAGAAGGGTCCCAGGTTTGATTCTTGGTTGTGGGCACATCCCCAGTGGGGAGTGTGCAGGAGGCAGCTGATCGATGTTTCTAACTCTCTATCCTTCTCCCTTCCTCTCTGTAAAAAATCAATAAAATATTTTTTTTGTTTGTTTTTTGTTTTTGTTTTTGTTTTTTTAAATATATTTTATTGATTTTTTACAGAGAAGAAGGGAGAGAGATAGAGAGTTAGAAACATCGATAAGAGAGAAACATCGATCAGCTGCCTCCTGCACATCTCCTACTGGGGATGTGCCCACAACCCAGGTACATGCCCTTGACCGGAATCGAACCTGGGACCTTTCAGTCTGCAGGCCGACGCTCTATCCACTGAGCCAAACCGGTTTCGGCAATAAAATATTTTTAAAAAGAAAAGAAAAAGGGAACACTA